CATGTGCACCTATTGAAGTGCACCCAAATCTGCAGCTGTGCACCCAATTTTTTTTCTGTGGGTGCACCAGTGCACCCAACTATATCTGTAGGTATTTTTGTACATATCAAATGTATGATAGTATACAGCGTATTCTTGGCATCTAAGTTAGCTCCCATTTCAGATGTTTTTTTAGGTTGGGTGCACCCGTGCACCTCTTCCCCAAAATGAGTTTCAAGCCCTGTATACAGAACTGTGCCTGCACCTATGTGTCTAGTTCCACTCGAAATTCATTTTTGGGAATAGGTGCACCAGTGCACCAAACCTAAAAAATTGGTAAACAAAAAACATTTTAGGTGCACCTTATAAGATAAGATAAGTAGAATATCTGCAAAAACTATAATTATATTTGATTTCTAAAGAAAAGTGTTATAAGTAGAAGAATGACTTTATTATTTTTCTGACACTTAGGTGTTAAGAATATGCTGTATATTACTAGTATACATTTAACATCTTTACAGACGTAAATCTACAAAAATGCCACCCACAAAAAAAAATTGGGTGCACAGCTCCAATTTTGGGTGACTAAGGTGCATTGTACCCAGTATTTCCCTGAAGATTAATGTTTTATATTTGGTAGTTATTAGTCCAATGTGTGATATTAGAAGTTTGATATTGAAACTTTATTTTCAGTAGTTACATTTTCAATCCACTGGATTCTCTGGATTTGGGCTGGTTGAACAAAGGAATTCATGACTAAATTGACTGGCACAAAATACACACGTCAACAACCTCCATATATTGGCACCAAATCCATACTCATCAGGAAGAATTGCTTTAAGAAACTAAAATTCTACCAGGAGTGACCTTCAGGCACTTAGCAATGACCTTGAGAAAGTCGTGTGAGAGGAGGTCAGAGAGGTCAGCGCCCCTGCTGGCACAAGGTCACAGTCAAGGCTCGTTTGAAGTTCCGGGAAACAATTCAATTTTACTGGAATATCGCGTCTGGATTAGCCTCGTCCAGTCAGGACTTTCCAATTTAAGGCAACACCAATTTAATTTGTTTGTTCTCGATTTTTTTTTGGGGGGGGGCAGATGCAAAAACTGTAAAAACTAGGAAGGACTTTCCTCAACTGCTTTGGGGCAAAACATGAGCAGAGGCAAATCCAAGAACCAACAAAATTAAATTGGTGTGGCCTTAACTGTCATTTCTTGGAACTGGAAAAGAAATGCTAGATAGCTGTATGAACATGAAAACAGCAGCCTCCACCAGGCCTTCCTATGGGGCTCTACATTCTGCCAAAAAGCTGTTATAATAACTCATGAACAAAACTTTGTTCAGGATATCTATTGCATCTACCAGACTCCTTTTGCAGGCTGAATAAATAGTAGAAATTGGCCTAAAAAGGGGATTTAATTGGCTCCAGAGGAGTTGGCTGGCCAGAGTGAGTCCATTTGCCATGCAGGCTACATTCAGATTCATTTCCAGGCCTCAAAATTACCCTTTTTCCCTATTGTCCCAGCACTGTCCCAAAAATAAATTTCAATCCTCCCAAAGTGAGCATGAACTGCCCCAACCTGTTTTGCGGGAAGCATGTATGACAAAAACTTGAATTCAACTTTATTTTGTTTAGTGTACGACTTCCAGGCACACCTAGTATAATTGCAGAATTTTGGGAGAAATTTTTCAGAAATTTGGGGGCTTTTCCGGAGCCAAAGCCAAGAAGCGTGCCTGATCAACTAAAGAAGGGCTGACATTCTGAAGTTGGATATTTTTCTGTTGTCCCAATAATGTCCCAAAGAGACTTTTCAGTTGTCCCAGACTAAATTTCAGCAGTCAGTGGCTATCAAGACAAAACACCATTAATTTCGAGCCCTGATTTCTACTCCAGCTACAGGCTGATGGTTTCTTCCTTGCTAGAAAAGAACCCAGAAGCAGACTCACTGGAGGCAAAACTCCAGAAACAATAAAAAAGACATCTGCCCAGGTTTCCACTCAGTACAGGGCTGGAAGTTTGCCAGGTTTGATAATGTCTTTGTATTTCTTCATGAGCAAATAATTATTCGATTGAACTCAATATTCAATTTCATGAGACAAATTTTTTGTACCACACTTTAGTAACACTTCATCTATAATATCATATATATACCTAAACTTTCATTATATTCAGCAAACAGATTTTAATCAGTAGATGAGATTATTATTACTTTCACTCAGACTACTTCTGAGGCGCCCAGAGGCCCACTTTCCCTTTCTTGTAGCTGTACTTTCACTTTCTGACTGCTGATATTGCGCCGGAGACGTCCCGTGTGGCAAAAGTAATAAAACTGCCACAAGGCTGCTACAACTGGCCAGACAGTCTGGCACCGAGCTGGGTGGTTATGTTTGTGTGTACAGTATACTTTACACAGTATGAATCTTACCTCACACAATTATTTTTGTACTTGGTTTTTGTATTTACAATAAAATTCTGGACTGAAACATCAACATGGAATAAAAATGGTGGATGTACATTGTACCAACCACTAAGTATCTGATACCAGCCCAGAAAAGAACAAGAAACAGTCATGCCTTCAAATATTTATCAAAAGTTATCAACCAAGAAATGAGGTGTTAAAAAATTGTGGTTTCCAAGAACTATGATCGCAGAGTGGAACTCGTTGCCACCAAGCACAGTTGGGGCATCATCACTAGAAAGCTTTAAACAACTCCTGCAGTTAAATATGCAAAGATTGAGTGTAACAAGTCGTTCGGTGTGATATAGCCAGCTGCCGCCGCGCCACGTGCCTGAGAAGCTGGATGTTACGTCATGGTTAAACCAGCTATACCGATACAGCTGGTATACAAAACGCACCTGACCACCCCCATGGCTTAAGAAATGGAATGCCCCTACAGCCAGAGAAACTTGGGTCGAGTCTCCGTGCACAGATGAACATGATGAACTCCCTCGTCTCTTGGCTCCACAGTTTGTCTGACTTTCCTTCCAACACAAGCCAAGTTGTGCTGCTGGAATGTCGGCCAAATATTTTCAGTAAAAATTTAGGCAATACGAAAACAGGAGGCTGGGAGGAAAACTCAACTGTGTGAAACTTTACCAAGTACCAAATATACAAACTGTCCCATAGAATCAGTTATTGGTGATATTTTTCAAACCCCAATAACAAATTGGTATTGTTAATAATCTTAATGACGATAATGATTTTAATGTGTGGTAACTTTTTATGAATCAATCATGTAATCGTCAGAGCAATTTAGGTCCCAATTACTGGGGAGCTGCCATTCTGTATGTATAACATGTGATAAAATGACAGGAGCAAAGCAGACCATAAAATTGCAACATTATGTAACCCAACACCAGTTACCATGGTGACAGATGTCAACAAATCATGTCATTGGTCAGGTCATAGGTCACTGTTTGGAGAAGAAGAAGAGGAAGAAACGGAGCAAAAACAATATGTTTTCCTTCGGTAAACATAATGACGAATGAACAATTAATTATTATTATCATTATATTATTGAATTGCAAAGAAATATTCAGCAATATCAAAATCACAGTAGAACCTCAGAATAATAATGGAAAGTTGTGTGCTCAGGTGTCATCTATCACTTTCACTATTATCTTCTACTTTCCCATCAATCACATGTGTCCTTGACGAGGCAGTTCTCACCGCTGACCTCTGACCTGTCCCGGTGAGATCGATAGCCAATTGTCTGTGACCTCTGACCCGCGTGTGTAATCGATACCCAAACGTCCCCGTGAGGGAGGTAATGAACCTGAACCTGAACCCAGGCGTGTCGGAACCACCTGGACTACTGCAGCGTTCAAGGTGAGCCCATGGGAAAATCTGTGGTTCTGCTGAAATATCACTTGGAAAACCCACTCTTAAGGCCTAGGGAAAAAAATGTTGTTTTTCCCGTTTCCCGACCGACCCTAGAAAAAAACTGCCCACCCTAGACTTTTTTTGGTGAGGGGACATAAATGTTTCAAGCTAGCTCCATGATCTGACACCTGAGAGATGAAACGTTGTACAATCGTTTTTCCAAAATTGACATTGAAAATATAACTGTCCTCATACAAGGTTTACTTTGTATAAGTTGGATCACTAGAGATCGACAAAGTCTGAGAAAAAAAAAGAGAATCCCAAAGTTTTTCAGGACTGAAAAAGGAAACACAACATTTTTTTTCATAGGTCATACCAATAGCTACATGGATGAAGGTTTGACATTCAGGTAATGAGATACACATTAGAAAACAGTTATTCAAGCAACTGGACAGCTTTTTAAAACTGGGAAGAGCGGCTAAGGCCGACAGGGCATTTCTAAATAAAGGCTATTCATTCATTCATTCATTTTTATAATCCAAGAACCACCAGATGAATTTGACGCAGCCAAAATATGATCTGCGCAGCCTTAATTAATGTTATGGCCTGTTCTGCGATGTTCGTACAATATAATGTGGGAAAGTGAATAAAACGTTCGCACATAAAAACCTGCAGATAATGAAGTCCTCACTCCTGGGATGGACACAGATACATAAAAGGACGGTTAATTTATCGACAATCACTCTCTATCTTTTCTAACCAGAGGGCCTGATACTATAGGTAGATATTCATACATATTGTGTAGATTTGAACCAAATCATTTTTTTTAATTCTAGGACAGTCTTTACAAAGCGCAACAACGAGTTAATAATTTGTGATGATGGACAACAATAATGAAATCAACAATAACAACAAAAGGGGGAGGACAACAAATTATGTACAATATTCTGACACGGGTCCTGTCTCTGTTTTGATAGTTTATTTCCTTCTGTATTTTATAATACGTGAGCTGCCAGTGTTGTGAGGAAGGTTGTTGTTAGTTCTGTCCCGTTCTGCTGTACAAAATGTTCCCGGTCAGTCAGTCCCATGTGTGGTTATAGCTGACCAAAACTCACGCACGAAAAAATATCATATTCCCAACACAACTCGGGCCACAGACGGGCTTCGCTGCTTACGGAAGACTTAAAGACGGTACCTACCTTAGCGTGGCCTCCTTGGGAGATGTCTTGTCGCTCCTGTGCGCGTCTGGAAGTCCGAGAGAAGGAGGAAGTGTCCTTAAGGTGTAAGATGAGTCCGGCGTTCCTTCCGTCACGTCCTCCTGGGCGCTTCTGTGTTCTACACCGCACACACACGCTAACAATGACTTATACAAACTACAACATAAACTTATGGAATATATATAGGACATGTAGTATTTTATAAAAAGAATATAAAAATTGTGTTGCAAAATATTTTCATAATTTGTATTTTATATGGCTATGAGTGCAGCAATGATGCTTTTGAGACGTTGCGTTTGTCTGCGCTCAGCCGGAAGTCCCACACACAGGATTTTGCCGTCTGCTCTGCAGATTTTGGCGGGTTTTTGGTGTTTTTTTGTCTAAAGAATTAGCCCAAAAAAGCTGCAATTTTACAGGTGCCAGGAATACCTTTATTTCACACGTACATTCCATGATCAGCGCAGAAGGTATAGTCCGTTCTAATAGCTTGTACGCCCCTCTGGAAAAGTAGAATATCCAGTTTGAACGTGAGTGTTGAGGGGTCAGGTTAGGGAGGTGTGTCAAATCGGCTTTCATTGTTGACATTGCTGCATGTCCGGCTCCCAAAAACAACATCCTAACAGCTTTGGTGATGCTTTGACAAGGCATAGAAGGACTTACGGTATGCCAGCAATTTAGATCACACCATAGTATAGACACTACTTATTACTAGCCTCCGTAGCAGGCTTATAGAACTGTGGGTTTGGTGGTCTTCAGCTGTTTTCTGATTAGCCTCCGTAGCAGGCTTATAGAACTGAGGGTTTGGTGGTCTTAAGCTGTTTTCTGATTAGCCCAGTTCTAAAAAAAAACGGGGGTAATTCAACCAGGCCGGCTATGTTGTCTATATGCAATCAGAAAATAGCACATAAAAGCTCCCAAAGACCCTGAAGACCCCCAAACCCCCAGTTTTTGGCGTGCTATGGAGGCTTAATACTTGGATTTCGGATCGTGCTATGATGTTGTCATAATTTTGGGGAAGAATTTTATGTCAACAAACCCACACACTGGTCTGATTTTGTGAGACGCTCTGTAGTGCTTATATGGAAAGCAAAATGTGTTGATGCAGGTTTGAGAAGACAGACTGATCAGGTATGTCAGTGAACGTTCATCACTGGAACTCTGCAGCTGATGGACAGCTCACTGAGGCCGCCATGCGGAAGAAGATAGAAGCGCAGGGATTCAGAGTCACCAAGTGAGCAGAAAATTTTAAATTTGTGATTTTAAACATCGTCCAACTCTAGTAGGTGTACTTTTCAAAATGATTTTAGGCCTCCCGGCGGAGTAAAAAAAATCAAATTACTTGAAAAAATTCAAAACAGTAGAAAACTTACAGATACATGTGTGTGAACCCAGCACGTTGGCAGAACGTACTGTGCCTGCATGAAACCCGGATTTTGCACTGTTTTCTTTGGATGTTTGGTCAACGTTGCTTTATAATTTTGGCTGTTGCAGACGACATTTTTTCCGACATAACAGTTGGAAACTACAGACAAGAATGTTAGAACAGAATGGAATGACAGAACTTTAATGTTACGTGAATACAACCTTATATATGAGATGTTCTGCCGAAGTGCAATGCATAATACGGTACAGGTTTCACGCAGGTGCACATGCTTGTGAACCCCCTCATACTTTTGTGCACCCCCCTGCTGATATATATCCCCCTTTTAGGTATGTGTACCCCCCTCACACTGTGTACCCCCCTACAGGTATGTGTACCCCCCTGGGACGTACTTCCCCGACCACACCCACACCGTGGACAAGATTGACGGCGTGGTGAGCGGACAGTTCCGGATGACCATATATGGGCAGACGGCCGTGCTGGGGCCTGGTGATTGGTTGGAGGTCCCGCGGGGCCAGGTGCACAGCGCAGGGGTCGTAGGGCAGGAACCAGTCGTCAGTTTAGATGCCACCAGGAAATGACAGGAACATTATCATCACTAGATTATAAACTTCAAACAATGTTTATAGAGTTATATGATTGTGCAGTGACAAGTCCTGCAGTGTAATGTAGCCAGCTGTCACATGCCTGCAAAGCTGGTGTTTTTTTTATTGGGCATTCTTTGTTGACTGGTAATTTTTATTTGCCATCCAAACTCCAGTACCATATTGGACACTGCCCTGCCTATGTGAAACTGTCTTGCGAACATGATACTGCCTTTTAGCCATCAAAAGATCTGCTTGGAGATTGGCAATGGCAGGGCAGACTGACTGGACTGTAGGTGGTACATTCAGCTCATCCCCAGCCCAAAGAACAAGAAGTGCAGGGTTCTGACCAGGGTTCCAAATAGCGCACATTAAACCACCAGAATTGTGTGGTTGTCATGCCATGTTTAGCTCCCTATTGCTCAGTGATTGTTATTGATGTGTAAATAGTTCTTGAATTGATAGAAAAACCTTGGGATTGTAGTATTTTCAGGCGTGGTAAAGTTGGACGCCAAGTTTTTGTATAGTAGAGTCCGCCAAACTGAAGGACTGTACCTAGTTCATCTGCAGCCCAGAGAACACAAGCTCCGATCCAAGCCTCTCTCACTGGTTAATTTATATGAAGCTTTATTGATAAACTGTGTCAGCTTGACAGATAACATGTATGTACAACAGTCAGGGACAGAGAAACTTAAGGTTTGTACAGACATTATAAAGGCCTAAAACTGTCCAGAAACAATAAAACATACAAAATACAATGTACGTTCATGGCTACACTACTGTCATTCATATTCGGAAAACATTGAATTCATGGTAAAGCAACAATACAATGTGCAAAGTCAAAGCTCAACTTTCCTTTGTTACCATTCTATCCTGTTTTACACCATATATAACACTATTTCCTACACTGTACAACCCACATCTCCAGTAGACATGTTAACTTAGTACATGTAGTGCCAGATTCCCACTGTCAGTATTATAAATTAAAACACTAGGTTTTTTTTGTTGACACATCTGAATCTTATATATATATATAGAATTCCTCATAGTGGCTGTTTTGTCTGTTTAATTCGAGGAGTACCAAACATTCCTAGGTTGTTGTTGTTTTTTCATTACTGTAAATAATCATTATACATTTGCATTTACTTGTGATCTACATGTATTTTTGACAGGTAAAGGTTGATAACTGTTTTTACACGTAGACCAGTGGAATGTTATTGTTAGCTACATCTTAGCCACCTCATGGATAAGTAAGTCGGCAGGTAAAAGTTGATGATTGTTTGTAGACAAATGTAGACCTACACGTAACTACAGTTAGAAAGACTTGATGTTGATGCCCTCCCTCAGCTGCATACACTGGACCTCTTCGATGTGTGATTTCTCAGGTAAATGTAGACCAGTAGAATATGTTGATGATAACTACATGTATATCTATGTTGTTGTCCAGGTTAGAAGCTCTTGATGTTGATGCCCTCCCTCAGCTGCATACACTGGACCTCGTGGATAAGTGAGTCGGCAGGTAAAAGTTGATGATTGTAGACAAACGTAGACCAGTAGAATGTTATAATTGTTAACTACAGTTAGAAGCTCTTGATGTTGATGCCCTCCCTCAGCTGCATACACTGGACCTCGTCGATGTGGAGGGAGTTGGCCTTGACCTCTATGTCCTCCTCCAGGATCAGCTGGTTCCTTCGCAGGCCCTTCAACTCCGCCTCCGAGGCGTACAGAAGCTCCTGTAATCTGTAAACAAACAAACAAACAAACAAACAAATATTAATCAACTAGAAAGGTAACATTTGCTAACCAAATGCATCATGCTTACCATCACATATGGTCTGCTCTATTCTTACTCAAACACATTCATAATATATCTGGTGACAGGGATCATTACAACCATCCCTCAACTGAGACGGGGGGCACCACAGACTATCTGCAACCTATGATCCACTGCTCACGAAGTCGTGTGTTATCTGCGTGATGTCACGGAAGCAGTGGATTGCTCATTCCTTGACAGAGACTCAGGAGTTTTTGAAAATATGGGTAAGTCCAATCCCTTGTGTTGGAAATTACAGTTTAAACTCCTCCATAATGACTTCTACCTAGTCTCTACCAAACTACGCTGGCTATATATAGGAGAATATTTGCCAGGGGAGTTTGGCGGTGTTGTAGGTTTGACTGGTCCCGCAGTTGAGACTACCTCCCCGTGGCCGGCCTCCCTTGGCCAATTTTACTCTCTTTTTTGCTAAAATCTACGATCCGTATTCCCGTAGAAAGGGCTGGTAGAGGCTAACTTCTACCAACACAAATGAAATTTCAAGGTAACATCAGACTGACCTTTGAACGTTTTCCGAGATTTCCCCGACCTCGCTGACGAGCCTGTACTGTGCGGGGTCGCGGCAGAGCTCCACGTTGGGTCGTTGCTCGCGGTTACCGAGGCGAGTCTGCGCCACCTGCATGGGCGCCTCCTTATCCGCGATGGCTTTCCGCAGGTTGGCATTGTTCTTCTCCTGCGAGGTCACCTCGTCCATCACCTGCGGGAGGGTTGTTTGTTTGCTGTTTATTTGTTTGACTAATGACAGGACAATGTAAGGGAGGACTTCCACCAGTTGAACCTACATAACATCAACCCACAGGATAGCAGCAAATGGCAGGCTGCCATCAAGCCTCAGTATTGCTGTTCGAGCACGTCTTAAACCCTCAGAAGACGGGGAGCAACAGACGCTAAACCGGCTAGTGAGTGAGTGAGTGAGTTATTTGCTTGCTTGTTTAGCGTAACTGGTAAACCATCATTTCTACACTTGTAACATGTAAGGCAAGTAAAGAACTACCAGTATTCTTTTTTAACTATGGCAACATCTGGGTGTACTAATGCATTACATTATGTTCTATGCCCAATTTGTGTTTTGGGGGGAGATTTTATTTAATAGGCAAGTCATTTTTTTCTCCATAGCAGAACTGCCCCCTATCTTTCAGTATCGGTACTGCAGAAGCTGCCCTCACCTTCCAGTTAACTTCTTTCTTTTGAAGTTGTAAATAGCTTGTTGTTTGATCTTTGGTCATAGGCAATGTTACAAGTGTAATATTCTGTTTTTATACCAGAATCCAGGAAGAATATTTTATGTATATATATTCTAATCTAAAACTTATTCCATAAAGATCTCACCTTGCCCAGATGATCCTCGAGTTTGGACTTGGCGAGTTTCGTCTCGTCGACTCGCTTGCGGAAGGCGAGGTTTGTGCAGTCCACCTGTTTCTGCATGTCGTCTGCCGTCTGCACCAGAACCCCATCTATCAGGGAACGCAGCTGGATGGACAGGTTCTTCTGTTTGTCTGCCTTCGCGATGTTGTCGTCGGAGAACGAGCGCCAGTCGTTGGGAGTCACCGAGCTGCAGGAGACAAGCAGAGAGGAGTTAGGAATCAACTAAAATACACCAAAAAACAGTAACTCAAGCAGCTGGATGGACAGGTTCTTCTGTTTGTCTGCCTTCGCGATGTTGTCGTCCGAAAACGAGCGCCAGTCGTCCGGAGTCACAGAGCTGCAGGAGGAGTTAAAAAGGGTTAGGGTCAAGCCTTATTGTCAGCCTTTTTCAGCTTTCGTCCGCTCCCCATGATTTTGGCCCAGTAGCGGTTTGTGGGGAGCAGACAAAAGCTTAACAAGCTGACACTAAGGCTACAAGGTAGTCCCGAAGCCTTTCTAGGCAGTAGGGCAGTAGTGTGTTGTTCCACTGTGTCAGTAAGTCTTAGAGCACTTTTTGAGGTGTACAGGCAGTGGGCTGTTGATCTATTTCTCTCCTTCAACAGTGAGTGCCAGTTTTACCTCCCCAACCAAACTCAGGTACCAAAATAAGATGAGCAAATCCTATCATGGTTGATAAGTAGTTCCTGTATTGTTGTATTGTGTAGACTTAATTGTAATGACTCTACTGTACTCACTTTGCCTGAATCTTTACTGCGGTGTCTGTGTATCCGATAGTAGGCGTGTTGTAATGTTGGTGAGTGTTCGTATGTTGTAGGTGAGTTTTAGTGTGTTGTATGATGACTACACGGTACTTACTTTGCCTGTATCTTGACTGTTGTAGGTGATGTTGTATGTTGTGTGATGACACTACTGTAACAGTACTTACTTTGCCTGTATTTTCACAGCTGTATCTGCGTATCCGATAGTCGGCGTGTTGTTGGTGAGAGTTGAGCAGTAGTCGTCGATGTTGAGCGCTGACAGCTTGTCCCTCAGGTCCTTCTCCAGATGGAACTTTGCGGAGCGGTTGAGTCGGATCTGCTCGACGGCCTGCTCGTGGGTCCTCATCAACAGCTCCATTACTCCCTGGATCGTCTCCACTTCCTTCAGAAGTTCTCTCTCCACGTCGTCATGCACCAGGTCGATCGACGCTCGGTTCTGTCTGTAAACAACAAACAAACAAACAAATAAATAAATAAATAAACATCAGTCATCAGGAGCTCCATCACTCCCTGGATAGTCGCTACTTCCTTCAGCAACTCCCTCTCTACATCGTCATGCACCAGGTCGATCGAAGCTCGGTTCTGTCTGTAAACATACAAACAAACAAACAAATAAATAAACATCAGTCTTCAGCAGTTCTCTCTCCACATCGTCATGGACCAGGTCGATCGACGCTCGGTTCTGTCTGGAGAACAACAAACAAACAAACAACTAAACAAATAAACAAACAAGTTCTCTTTCTCTGCAACACCAGAAAAAACAAGGACACACAGACAAAAAGAACATAGAAGATATAATATAGCAAGGGATGAAGTTAATAGTTTGCAGAGTAAATTTGTTCTTCCTTTGAAATAGCATAGAATTATTTTTATCATACTTATAACGATATCTAACACTAGACACACAGGACTTGAGTTTGGCTAACAGGGATGATGTTACCAGCAGGTGCCATTACGCTGGCAATGGTTCACCTCTACTAGAACACATTGCTATGTCTGATAAAAATAACTGTCCTATTTCCATGCTACTCTTGTCCTATACCTGACCTGTGTTAGCAAGGCATGTCTGTGCGATTCTGCTAATGACACTTACTGTAAAGTTCTATTCTTATACTTCTTTGTGTTGGATCTAAAGTTTTAACTTTTAACTTATAACTTAGTTTTAATTAAGATTAACATTAAGATTAAAATCCCTGACCTGTTAGCGAGGCATGTCTCAGTGTGTGATTCTGCTCATGACACTACTGAAGCCATTTAAGCCAAGCCAAGCTCTAACTTCTTTGTGTTGGATCTAAAGTTTTCCAAAGTTTTAACTGTAAACTGACCTGTTGGCAAGGCATGTCTGTGCGATTCTGCTAAATATACTTACTGAAGCCATGTGACAAGTCTACAGAGGAAGACCAGTGCGAAATCTCTTAACTTCTTTGCGTTGGATCTAAAGTTTCTAAAGTTTTAACATTAAACCATTCCTGACCTGTTAGCGAGGCATGTCTGTGCGATTCTGAGCGGCTCCTCGCATGCCTCTATGCCCTTCTCCAGCCGAGTCTTGTACTCCAGCAAAGTGTCATTCTCATTCGTGATCTCCTCCAACTTACGGTCCAGCTCTGACTTCCAGAAGTCTATGTCATCAATCCGCTGTTCTGGAAGGGCAAAACCATCAATAATATCAATACCAATGACATCAATAATATCAATATCATCAATAATATCATTGTCATCAATATCATCAATAATATCAATGCCGTCAATATCAATATCATCAATAATATCAATGTCATCAATCCGCTGTTCTGGAAGGGCAAAAGCATTGATATCATCAATATCAATGTCATCAAATTAATCAATTTCATCAAGATCACTAATACTCTGTTCTCTAAGGACAAAGAAATGTGAACCTGAATACTGACTTTTCTAGGCTAGCTAGAACAGGTGTTCTTACACCTAGGACCCCATTCCCACTAGGGGAAAAATTGTCAGGATTGAGCCGAATTGATTTGCTTTAATCTGGCTTTGATCTGGGATCAAAGGGAAATTTAATTTGGCTTGATCCGGACAATTTTACCCTAGTGTGAATGAGGCCTTAAACAATACACAGGTTTTAAGAACAGGTGTTCTTACACCCAAATAAGGACAATACATGGGATCTAAGAACAGGTGTTCCTACTAAAGTCTTTACAGTGACAGTGTTGGAGCATTGTTTTCATTCTTTGGTACAGGTATATCCAAGAAAACAGTTACTTAAGCAACTCAGGATAGATTTTGAAAACCAAATATACACAGTTGCCTGAGTAACTGTTTTCTTGTGCATCTCATTACCAGGATATCTAACCCTCATTGATGTATCTTTAGTTCTTCTTCTTTTTATCTTTAGTAGTAGTAAGTCATTTATTTAAGTGACAAAGACAGTTATAACCTATGTTAGTGAAAGAGAACTGTTTTATTGCGACAGCCTACCTAGTTTCTTGTTGACGTCCCTCTGTGTCCGTCTCGTGGTTTGTTCCGTCTCGTTCATGAGGCGCTGACTCTCGGCGATGAGTCGCTCGGACCGCGAGCGCTCGGCCTCCGCAGAGTGGTACTTGGTGAGGTTAGAGACGGTCCATTCATCCTTGGTAAACTTCGGGGGCGGGGACACCAGCTTCGCCATGGCGATCTGAAGACAACAAAATAACATCAATTTTCACATTGGGCTTTCATAACTAAACATAATGAAACAAACTTGTGAAAGAAAAGCCCCAAAAGCTTACAAGAAATGAACACTAAATGAATGTATTTGTAGTAACTGTTATCAAACTTGTTTTGGTCTCTTTTGTTGCAATTTTATAGTTAAAGCCCTCCCACAACCATTAGCATGGTCACATTTGGCGGCGCCCATCTCCATTTTGTAGCACTTGGACCACACATTTGTGCAATTGCTACAGCAGGGGGCTGGCCCACTGGTAGTGGTGTGTGTTTAACTCCCATACTCTTTCTCAAATTTGATTCATAATTTTATCTCAAATTTCAATTTTATATGTTATTCGAATGTGTGGGTTACAGGATACATAGCTGTGACACTAGACTAAGTGTAACCCTTGAACAGAGCACAAAATGCTGGAAATGGAGACATGCAGAACAACCCAACCCCATATCTGCTTGGAGCCAAGTGAAACCCTACACTGAGGATATCTCTCATGGCGGCCGTCCTGTGTTACCAAAACACTGTCCTGACAACATCGGACACAACAACATGTAGCATTTAGAACAGTGTAGAAACTGTCTTGCTGCAAAGTTTGAAGAATTATGATACGACAACAAGACTAAACCTCCAGTCTATAATTTGTGTTAATGAAGGTTAGACATCCAGTTAATGAGATACACAAGAAAACAGTTACAAAAGCAGATTTTGAAAATCCATCCAGTTGCTTGAGTAACTCTTTTCTTGTGTACTTGTAGGTATGTTCTCTGTAAGGTGTTTTTTGCAGGTCCGGTCAGCAAATTGGTAGCCAGTGATGTAAAAAAAATATTTTAGGTGCAGAATCTCTTTTGTACTTGCAAGGAGGTTAAACCTCCTTGGTATTAGTTAGAAAGGACGAAAGACAGCAGCTAAAGTGGGTTTTAAACACCAGGGTAGCAGATTGTGTTGTCCCACCAGTAACCCAACCCTGCGTCCACTTGTGGGCAGTTTCTGCCCCACTGACCGCCCACAAAGGTCCGACAAGGTCTCACCTCTCAGGACAGCTGACGGAGGGACGTGTGGGATGGTCAAATTATTCTGTATGATCTCCGCTAATGATTTTGTGCAACTTTGTTCTGAGTTCCAGATGTCTTTACCTGCTTTTCATATTTAACTTGTGTGTTGTAACAATGGCTTTTATCTCTGTGAAATCATTACAGTAACAGTACTTCTTTCTTAAGGATCATACTTTCTTAAGGATCCACTCGAAATGCGTATGAAATGCCACAAAAGACCTTTAAACAAACTGCTGTAAGGCTAAGAAATTTGTTATAACAACTTCTTCACATCATTTAAGTACAAGTAGTGTGTTTTTTTCTCTGTGAAATCATAACAGTACTTTCTAAAGGATCATACTTTCTTAAGGATCCACTCGAAATGAGTACAAATGACACAAAAGACCTTTAAAGAAACTGCTGTAAAGCTAAGAAATTAGCTAAGAAATTGTTAAGAACTTCTATTCACAGTTGACCAACGCTGGACTAACACATGACTGTCAGCCGCCCGGCCCTCCCAATGCAGAAGTGACAACTATTGCTGCACTGTGTCAGCAGCAGTGGTCATTCGGGCCTCTGTAAACATCTAAATAATGTTTGCTGTCCTTCAGTCATCCGTGACACACTTTTTATCGGGGATTTTTCACTTTTTTTCTCCTTGATAATCTTTTATGATTGAAATCCAAAGTCGCAACTTAAAAGTACTTTGAACCTTCACCGCCCACCATCGAAAAACTACTTCCAAATTGCCTCAACATTTGGACGTTGTTGCAACAACTTAAGTTACCTGGATCAAAATAAAGTGCTAAAAACATAACCCAAAAACCTAAAGAATTTGTTGTGGCGAAGTTTGAGTAGAAAAGACAGGATGTGGCGATCACAACGTTAGGTTGTTATTTGTCTAAACAGACTTCTAGCGTGGCGTCGTCATAAACGTAACGCCTGAAAACCTTGATTTAAAACCTTAAAATATCTGTAGTCCAGTTTCTTTGGGTATGTTACATCTATTACATGGATATTATATTATACCAAAAGATGTCGAGACCATTCGATTTATGTGTGGTCCTGTAGGAATTGCTAGGATTACAGAGTAGTCTTCATTTTTTCCCATAACCATAATTAAGCTACAACATGAGACTGCTACCGGCACAATGAAGACCACTTGTACACAAATCTACAGAACAGATACGATCGGGAATCTGGACTCGCAAGACAAAAAAACACACACAAAACCGCTCTGAAATCAACACTAGACTCTCACCTGAAGTTCTTGAGTACTTCTACGGGAATTGCACTGGGAGAATTGAGGGAAAATCCAGCAGAACGTGAGTGTTTGAGGACGGCCTCCCGTACGTGTGTGTTCTGAATGGCGGCAGTGTTGAGAACAACTCGATCCCCGTTCCCTAGCAACCAGCAGCTGACCTGTTGCTACAACAACCAAACCTTCCGTCTGATTGGACCGTACCGCTCACGTGATGCGTACAGCTCAAAATTTTTACATTTTTCTTGTAGATTAATCAAGTTGCGATAATTATTCACCAATATTTCTATAAATTAGTCGCTTGTGAAGATTGTTTTATACAAAAACTTAGAAGTAAGAGTTTTTCTGTGACCTTGGCAGTACGCATGCGTGCAGGTCAGAGGTCGTGTTTTCGCCAGTCGTCATTTTGCTGTGCTGAGAGAGTCGAGAAGACACCAGAGGACGTTTTCTACGTGACGTTCTGACGTCGTCTGCGTGGGTTTACGTGCACGTTACGTGATCACCTGGATGTACCTGACGCAGAACTGACAGACGAGAAGGTTGTTGTTCGGCCATGGATCGGAGAGACTGCCCCGTGTTGACCGGAATGGGCGGGAGCGCGCCCAGGACTTGTTCGCTGGTAAACCCAGCCCTGACCGCCCGCCCGAGAAACTTGGGCGCCGCGGCCCCGTCTGGTAGCGTCAAAATAACCCATCCTGGCAAGGCTATCATAGCGGGTACGTAGTCAACTTATCCGTATAGCTTCGTCATTACATGTACATGGCTGGGTTTTGATAGTACGATGTTTTAATACCTGTTACTAACTCAAGCAACAGTCACGGAGTTCGAATCACTCTGATCAAACAAGTTCGGTGTGTTTTACATTTTGTGCTTCGTATTTCCGCCGGATTTTCGAGGAAAAACTGGAACATAAACAGGAATTTCGTCAGAAGCAAACTTGAGTCGGGGCAGTTTAAACTGGTTTTCTTAGGTAGTCTTTGGTAGACTCAATTTGATTGAGATATCTGGTACCACATGTATAGAAGTACAACTTGAAATCGTTACAAATTTCCACATCCGTGTACGAAAAGCCCGATCTTGTGTCAGTGTGTTTGTGTTGTCCACACATTTCTCGTATCCTGAGTTTTGTTGTGTTTACGAATTATCAATTCAACAAATAAAAGTTGTTAATTTGCTCAGACAATCTCGCATTAAAAAAAAGTGGGCGTGTTCCCACTGGGGAATTTTCCTATCCGCCCACCGCTGGTTACCAAAACAATCGTTCTGAAAAACGCTCCTAAGCTAGGCACGTTCTGGGTTTACCGATAAATTATCCTCGTACTGTTTACGTGCAGGTTTAGTTTGAATGGATCGATAAATCTGTAGTAAGTCGGTTCAGAGTTAGATTTTGAGTTAGATAATTTGTGTCCAAGGCTGTTCTGATGTTGAATAATTATTTCTCCGTGTCCTGTGTGTAGTAGTACTAGTAGTATGTAGTAGTCGGACCGCCCCATGTGTCCTTTGGCGGTGGAAATTTCCACCCGTTTCTCAATCTGCCCACTCACTCACATGTTGCCTCCGCTATCTGCATGTTTTAGTAGGACCTTTCTGGCCCATTCAGACAATCACAGTCAAATGTGGTGGAGTAAGAAGGGTTTTAAATTGACGGTGGTTTCAGTGACAAATTTGATAGTGTGCAGTGAGACCAGGTTTGGGTGTTCTTGCGTCATGTGCCTATAATTATACTTGTTGGGTCACTGATAATATCAGGAGGGGAGTTAAGGTCAGGACAGGGGGTTTGTCATCTGCCACTGTAGAAAGACTCTGTAAATTCATATACAAATGTCTAAAGAAGAGAGAAGAAACATGTACAGCTTAGATATAGATAGACTACAGCATAGTTTGCCTAATCCTTATTGGTAATTAAGAAGTGCATTTAGCCCCACTGGGGCATGAATATGCAACAAACTTCATTGTCATTTTCATCATATCATGGTCAGAAAAACAATCATGTTTAGACTGAGGGAGCTGGTTATGTTGAGAAAATCAAACAAAATCTGCAGGTTTCTTATAGCCTGGTTTGAGTTCGTTGACCCACTTAGATCATGTGGGCGTCGCCTTCATGGTGGCTGCTGATCGGTGTAGATCAACCTGATGATGGAGAAATCATTGTCTTCAACTTTGTCACTAGTTGATGCAATTCCACAGGAATTTATGTCTCGAAAATTAGATCAAGACAAAAACAGAGAGCATGGAGGAAAACTTAAATCTGACTATATTCACTAGAACTAAAAATGTGTAACCAGTGCTGTGTAACTAAGGTACAGTCAGTCAGAATAATTTTTCTTACAACAAATTGAGTAGGTATGCTAGGATATAAGAGTTTTCTTTTACACAAGTTTCTCACCTAAGTGCTTACGTTTCAACGTCTAACAGACACCTTCTTCAGAGCTTCTGACTGTGGTTCTGAACAGGTGTGCTTGGAAAAAATGCAAGTCATAGCAAAGCTGCAAATTGCACTCAGAGCTACTTGAAATAGCACCATGCTCCACCTCAGTTGAGGATGACAAAAGAAGGATTAAAATTGGGCCTGAGATTGTTTGTGTAAGCTGATATGATCAACAGTTAGTAGAAAATTCTTCAATCAGTGACTGTATTTTGTAAGGTAAATCACAGTGGTACCTCCAGTGGTCATGGTGTACAGTCGACACCGGAAATTTGGAGGTACATGATTTTACCTTACAAAACAGTCACTGATTGAAGACTAACTGTTAATTCTACGTGACTGATGAACCTCTTCAATGATATGATCCAGATTTTAACCCCTGTGTGTGCCTGAGTGTGCCCTGTCCCAGTTCCTCTTGTTTCTGATGTAATCTCTGTAGATAATCTGGTCATGAAACATTTAATCCAGCCTGACTGGGAAATCATTTAGCAGGGGGCAGATTTCCAATCTAAATTCATAACCTGGTTTGGTCACAGATTTCATTACCACTGGAACACTCCATCAGGTAGATGGTATATGGACCTGTAGTGTATAGCCTGGGTGCCAGACTGTTTCCAAGGCCCACACAGGCAAGCTCCTCGGCTCCAGGGCCTACATGTTAGCCTGGGTGCCAGACTGTTTCCAAGGCCCACACAGGCAAGCTCCTCGGCTCCAGGGCCTACATGTTAGCCTGGGTTCCAGACTGTTTCCAGGGTCCACACAGGCCAGCTCCTCAGCTCCAGGGCCTACATGTTAGCCTGGGTGCCAGACTGTTTCCAAGGCCCACACAGGCCAGCTCCTCGGCTCCAGGGCCTACATGTTAGCCTGGGTTCCAGACTGTTTCCAGGGTCCACACAGGCCAGCTCCTCAGCTCCAGGGCCTACATGCTAGCCTGGGTACCAGACTGTTTCCAGGGCCTACACAAGCCAGCTCGTAGGCTCCATGGCCAACATACTAGCCTGGGTGCCAGACTGTTTCCAGGGCCTACACAAGCCAGCTCCTCGGCTCCAGGGCCTACATGCCCCCAAGGAAATTATACCACAGGCCCCTTACTAGTACTTAGTTGAGAAGAACTCTCTGTTGTTTCAACTCCTTACTTTGAAAGAAGTTGTCATGCATAACTGACCATGGCCTCCCATCTTCTGTAGAAATGCATTAATACTGACTTATTATATTAATAAAAACATTTCTCCCTGTACCTGTGTGTGTTGTGATACTGCACACACACTGTACATTGAAAAATGCAAGGTTTCCAAGATTGTGAAAAGTGCTTGATGTTGTTGTTTTGACTGCAGTGCCCCAGGGTGGGCTGTTGTTCTGCTTGTCTGGATTTCCAGAGAATTACTTAAAATCTCTCCTCAGGCACTCAAAATGTGTCATGTGGGCGTCGGCCCTGGTACTGGGTTGTGATTGGCTGCAGAGGTGGTGTGCTGATCTGTGATTGGTCACAGGTGGTGGGCTTGTTAGTGGTGTGACAGGGTCATGCCATGGTGGCAAGGTTTCTTTTCTTATCAGCTGGCATTTTCCACAATTTCTATCATTGGTTTTAGCCTCTACCAGGCTTTGGGAGGCGGCTGGAAAGAGTAGAAATAGGCCGGATAGAGAGTTAACATGCTTGGGAAGTTCGTCTGTTGGAAAAAACAGTTTGTGGCAAAATGTACTCTCTAGCAGACAAACTCCCTCAGCATGTTATCTCTCTATTTGGCCGATTTCTACTCTTTCCAGCCGCCTCCCGAAGCCTGGTAGAGGCTACATTGGTTTGCCCGCCAAAATGACTTCGTGTGTGAGTTGTGATTCAATGCAGTCCAGAAAATACACCAGAAAAATGTTACACCAAAGAAGCAACTTGAAAGATTTAGAAAATGTCTTTCAATATTAAAGAAAGGCCCCTGGAACTTGCTTCTTAAATTTTCAAAATGCTTTAATTTAGCTTTACTAAAGCAAAGTAGCTTCACAAAGTCTTTGCACTCCTACCACATATCATCAAGTTTGACTTTCAGATATGGAAGTATGCGAGAGCTAGATGCGAAACAAAGTGTTTTTTTAGTATTGTCTTTATTTGGTGTTGTATGGTGCCAACTTACATGTTGTTCTGGTGGAATAACCTTGGGGAAAAAGTTTTGCCCTTGTCCCTGACACCCACAAGGCTGGTCTGTGGGCGTTGTCCCAATGCTGGGACGTGATTGGTCAGTGGCCAGGTGTTATGTAATGATGATTGACAGCTGGTTGTTGCTGTATGCCAGCAGGTCATGTTTTGACCCAGAACTACTAGACTTTTGTGATAAAACTGTAAACAGAGTAATTTTCTTGATGTGCTTCTAGGCTTTAGAACTCAATAGAAGAGGCTAAGTTTTGAAAATCTCAAAATTGGGATAATGTTGGCAGGATCCTGGCTTGAAAGTTCTTGTGTATCAGTAGAATTCAATCTGTATTAAAGCAGCATTTAACTGTTATTTCTCAGACGCAATGAAAGAAACATGTACAATTCTCGGGGATGGAATACAGGGTGCATTTTTTTTGTGCACCCAAAATTGGAGTCTTGACTATATGTGTGCACCTAGATATTTATGTAGGGTAATATATTATGTGTTGTATACTATTGTGCATTACAAATATTCTTAATGCATTTGAGTGTAAGAAGAAAATTATAAAACCTTTGTTGTATTTACTTGTTTGAAGTCTTGACTTTTGACTTCAAGCTCTGGAGAGAGGCAATAAAAATATAGGTTTAGCAGACGTCAGTAACTTTATTTATTTCATGTTGTGTGCACCCTAAACATATTCAGTGCACCAATATATTTAGGTCTAAATATATAGGAGTACCAGTTCCCCAAAATGAATTTAGAACCCCAATTCTTAGTGCAACAGGCTCCTGCACTATTGATCGAGCAGCTCCAAACTCCCCCACAGACAATATTAACCCACAGCCGGAACACCTGAAGGTCAACTGAAATTGGAATGGGGAGGGACAAAGTCAGGCTCCATTGATTTGTGTGTAGAAGCCATTATGATGTACGACCTTCCAAGTTTGAAGGTCACAGAGAACAGAGGACACATTTACTTATACCAGTTATTGGTTGATTGATTGATTGATTGATTGTAAGGGTATTTATTGATAATTTATTGGTTGTCCTGACTTTTTTGTTAGTTTGATCACAATATTAGTCTATGATAGAGCAAAGGTCGTCAATTTTTATTTCAAGGTCAGAGCAGTGGAAAATTCCAGTCCGACCAAAACATGATGATTTAACATTGGAAAGTCCCACCTGTGGAAAATTCCATTCCATGCATAGACTCGGCTGTGGAAAATTCCACTCCACTCAAAACCAAGATTTCCTCCTGATACAGTACTTTGATTTATGAAGTAACAAGTAGTAAGTCATGGCATTTAATCAATTTTTTTATTTTTCACGGTTTTGGTTGGATGTTTGGTCAACGTTGCATCAGAATTTTGCCTGTTACAGATGATATCTTTTCTGACGTAACATTTGAAAACTACAGATGGGATGTTAATCTTATATGTATATTATATGCGTGAATACGACCTAATATTAGACATTCTGCCAAAGTGCCATGCACAATACGTATACGGGTTTCGCACTAGTCTCTACCAAACTAACTACCGTTACTACGCTGGCTATATATAGGAGAATATTTGCCAGGGGAGTTTGGCCGCCTTGTAGGTTTGACTGGCCGCGGAGGGAAAGAAACTACCTCCCCGCGGACGGACTACCTTGGCCAATTTTACTTTCCTTTTTGCTGAATTGTACGATCCGTATTCCCGTAGAAAGGCCTGGTGGAGGCTAGTTTAGCACAGGTACAGTACGTTCTGCCGACATGCTCTCTTATCATACTGGAACAGTGACGGACACGTGTGGTAGGAGGGTGGTACTGGTAGGGCACTGCAACAAACTCCCAGGGGAAATCTCCCGCTGTAACGCGGCTCTCATGTCCTGATTACGATTGTGTCTGATCAGGACAAACTTCACATGATGGATGTCTGGGGAGTCAGTTTGGGACATTTACTGGGCAGGGACAAGTCAGTTTCCTGGGTTTCTGTTTTTTGTGAAAACTGAAGATGAAATATCTTTGTGCTTATTAAGATGAAATATCTTTGTGCTTATTAAGTTATTTTTCATGTATTATCTTTTGAATGCTAGATGGACATTTTCTTGTAGATTTTGTTGAAGTGTAGGATTTACATCTGTTTCAGTGTGTTTTTACTTCGAATCTGGAATCAGTGTTTCCCATCTGCATGTGAAACAGCTATATAACTTGATGTCACCCAGCTAGGTTGTACACTGAAGGGTTATTTAATTCAGATTCAGGGCAGCTGAACGTTATCAAACGCAGACTCCAGTTTTTCCTCCCTGTCCTCTGATGGCTCATTACAGCAATGCCAAATCTCTCCGCTTGGAATCATTTACTGACAGTAGACAAATAATATTCAGGGCTCGAAATAGTACTGGGTGCAATTTGTGCACCATAGTCAAGTTATAGTGCACCCAAATATCTTCCTAGATTTACATGTTAAATGAATATCAGTATATAGTATATCCTTGACCTCTAAATGCCAGAATTAAAATCTTTGTTTTCTTTCCTATACAAATCAATGAAACATACTTAGCTTTTGCTGACATTCTACTTACTAGTATTTTATTTCATATGGTGCACCCAAAGAATGTTTTGCGCACCCAATTTCTAGGTAAGGTGCACCTTTTCCCAAAAATGAAATTCGAGCCCTGATACTGTTCCATATATGGTCGAAGGCTACCCCTTGTCGGCATGGCAACACGGATGACAGACGGCGCCGTGTGAGCAGAATGAGGTATTGCGAGCGTCGCGGGGGAACGGAGCAGTTTTCTAATCAGGACAAATCACTTTATTTGTGTCCAGGTCGTTATTCATCAATGTCCAGGTCGTTATTAATCAGATTCAAACCTCGTTAGCGACGTTTATAAACGTGCGGCTGCATTTCCCTGGGACTGATGCGGATTAGGACCTGATTTCCCATCGATTCATTTAAGATTTAGTGATGGGCCACAACAAGTCAATATGTTGGTTTGTCAGAATAATGCTGAGTTAGGGGAAAGTCTGTACCTTGGTTGTCAGTTTCAGGGAGTGAATATAGACACATCAAGTTTTCCTCCAGCCCCCCATTTTTATCTGGACCAGACAGATGATGGTCTTTCTAAATAATTGTCTGAAGAAAAGAAACATGGAAAGGAGTAAATGTTTACTCCTATAACTTGAAACTATATAAGAAAAAGATTGAACTTTCCAACACAAGAAATTTTTGACTGTTCAACTCCTGAGTCTTTTCGAGGTGGATCTTAAGTTTGTTTACTCATCACCTGTTTGTTTGTTTGTTTGTTTACAGGTGGGCTGGCAGGTGGGATAGAAATCTGCATCACCTGTGTTTACTCACCTGTTTGTGTGTTTGTTTGTTTACTCACCTGTTTGTGTGTGTGTGTGTTTGTTTACTCACCTGTGTGTTTGTGTGTTTACAGGTGGGCTGGCAGGTGGGATAGAAATCTGCATCACCTGTTTGTTTACTCACCTGTTTGTTTACTTGTTTGTGTTTACAGGTGGGCTGGCAGGTGGGATAGAGATATGCATCACGTTCCCGACGGAGTATGTGAAAACTCAGCTTCAGCTGGATGAGAAGGCAAACCCTCCCAAGTACCGCGGGCCGATCCACTGCGTGCAGACCACGGTACGGGACCATGGCGTCCGCGGGCTGTACCGCGGGCTTAGCTCGCTCGTCTACGGGTCCATACCAAAGGCAGCCGTCAGGTACATTCAATTTTGTAACAACTAGAGAAGTAACATTTGCAAGCAAATGCAATATGTTTACTTCTGAATGGTCTCGCATACAATTTATGCACATACATTGTATTTGAAAAACAGCTGTCTAGTACTGACAATTTTTGACTGATCAGAGTTTTCTATTATTTTTGTTATAGCAAAATTGAGTCCCCACAAATAAATGTAGAGAATGCAATTTGCAGATAGGAAAACTGGTGTGTTTTTTTAAGAAAAAACTTTACGTAGTTCACGAAAAGTCCACTCATAAGCAAATAAAACATGGTGTACTTAAACATAATACCATAGGCTTTCGTGGTGATTTTGGTAACATTGAGGCAAATTTTAACTCCTGAACTCTGCATTTTGACCCTCATAGCCTTTACCCTGACTTTTTACCCTTAACTTTGAACTTCTAACCTCTGACCCCGACCTTTCCCCCTCAGGTTTGGTGCTTTTGAGTTCTTCAGCAACATGATGCGGAACGAGAGAGGTCAACTGTCAAAGGGCAACAGCTTTTTATGCGGGCTGATGGCGGGCGCGTCCGAGGCCGTGTTCGTCGTCACGCCCATGGAGACGGTCAAGGTCAAGTTCATCCACGACCAGACGTCGCCCAACCCCAAGTACAGGGGCTTCTTCCACGGGGTCAGGGAGATCGTCAGGGAACAGGGTAAGTCTGGGGGAAGGACATTAAGGAATAGGGGTCAGCAGCATCTACAAGTGTTTTTTACCACTGTGACAATACTAAAACGGGTCCAACTAGGCAATCTAGTTGTTGACAAGTGTTTGTACCCCCCCAGGAATCGGTGGTACCTACAAGGGCCTGTTTACACTGGTCATTGCCATGGTAACAGATGATTGACAGCTCATTGCCACATGGTAACAGATGATTGACAAGTGTTTGTACCCCCCTCCCCAGGAATCGGTGGAACCTACAAGGGTCTGTTCCCCACGATACTGAAGCAGGGGTCCAACCAGGCGATCCGGTTCCTGGTGATGAACTCGCTGAAGGACTGGTACCGTGGCGACGACCTCAGTCGGAACATTAACCCCTTCATCACCGCGGCCTTCGGAGCGACCGCCGGCGCCGCCAGCGTCTTCGGGAACACGCCCATCGACGTCGTCAAAACCAGGATGCAGGTCAGGCTCCTATCATGTTGGTAGTTACATGTTTAGAGTTAAAACTTAAGGTCCAACACAAAGAAAATTTTTTTCACCTACTAGTAGTAGTAGAGTTTTCGACCAGTCACTCTGGTCTTCCTCAGTAGACTGACCCAGTGAAGCTTTTATATGGCCTTTCTTAAGTGTGACGTCAACACTGGGTTAAAGGTATCTGGTAGACGATGTCAGCCTCCTGTTTGTTTCTATTTTGTTTACCCAGGGTGGATCAAGGTTGCACAGTGTGAAACAAACTTATGAGCCCTTATGGTGAAACTAGCATGACAGACTTACCAAAAACTGATATCTGATGTACAAGTATTATCCTATTGTAGTCCTATTAGAGATGATTGTCTTATAATTTTGACAATAGTGTTTATAGCAACTGTTGTATAATTCTTGTTTTATGTTGCTATGGGCCTAGTTTGGCCAAAAAGCAGAGAAAATAAAGTTAAAGTTTAAGTATGCAAGACCTGCCTCTGAAACTAAGGTGTGAAACCTACTGAAACTGACATGTGAGACCCACACGTGTGCTTTTCCGTCTGCAGGGTCTAGAAGCACACAAGTACAAGAGTGCGTGGGACTGTGCAGTCAAGATCGCCAAATATGAGGGACCTCGAGCGTGAGTACACTCTACTTATATTTCACAGATCATGCCACAAAGACTGGGTTTTGTGGATGACAAAAATAAAAATATAAATGGGTGACATCCTTTAGATACTAAGAATCTACAACAAGAGCAGAGAAATACCAAAATACACGACATTGCTGTTGTTTTTGATAGCTCCATGCCATTAGACATTTCTCTGTCTACTGTAGCTCCTCCAAAACTTGGAACTGCAGACTTTGACAGGCCTGTAGCGGCTCTTTTATAAACTGAAGTTGTAATTTTTAATCTGTACAGCATATTATTTTATTGTGATTTTAGGAAGCAACTGTTCAGCTTTTCGCTTGGGCTGACTGTCACTTTTGGTCACCCAGCTTTTTTTTTTAGAAGCAACTAAAATGAATGTGTGTTGAGATGTCATCTGTAAAACCCAGAATTTGTGGCCTGATTAAAAGTTTATGACTAGGTATTTTATCAATGTGGTTAGTGCTAAAGTTACCACCCAGATTTGTCTGCAGCAAATTCACCCTTTACTTTTGCCCATCCCCAAATCATGCTACCTTCACTGTGCAGCATGTCCACCTAGCAGTAGTTACCAGAATTGCACCTCCAGACACCATTTATTTGTTTCTCTCATAACTCACTCATCATCCATTGATAGTAACACCAACCATGTAGATATCATTATCATTCATAATGCTGAATTCTTTCATAGCTTGGGTCTTTATGTTATCTTGCCTGAGCTTCCATGTCTTTTAAGTGTCGCACTTTTAATTTTCACGACTTCCACTGTTCAGTCATAGATACACTCTCAATGCCTGTAAACATTAGAACATACCAGCATTGTTACTTATAACGTCAGGGGAAAATATACCATATTCCTTGAAAAATTGTAAAATCAAGTAAAGAATGATGTTGAAAAAAATGAACAAAAAAGGAAACATTTTTTAGAAATATGAGGTTCAAGCTATTCTGTGCCCAAAAAAGTACTTTTTTGTACATAGATATTTTTTTCAAAGACAAAAGAGAAAAATTCATATGTCAGCTAGCCATAGGATGATAAGAAAGGATAGAGCTCTTGTAGTGTGTTTGTGTTTCTGTCTATTTCTGTATGGTGTCAAGCGATGAATGTGTTTGTCGTCTGTCTTCTCTGCCCTTCTTCTGTGAAGCACCTCAGCAGAACGTACTGCGCCTGTGCCAAACACAGTACAAAACGTGCAAAGCACTTCTAGTTCTACAGAATGTATTGTTTAAGGCCGTGCTTGCATATTATGACATTTCGTCTGTAGTTTTCAAATGTTGTGTCGAAAAAGATATCGTCTGCAACAGGCAAAATTCTGATGCAATCATAACCAAAGATTCAACAGAAACTATGGTTTTGCGCAGGCGCAGTAATTATTCTGCCAACATACTCCACTGTCAGCACATCAGCAGAATTGTACTGCGCCTGCTTTTCACGGTTTTCTTTGGATTTTTGGTCAACGTTGCATAAGATAGAATTTTGCCTGTTGCCCTTGATATTTTTTCCAACATAACAACTGGGAACTACATGTACAGACGTCATGTTAACCTTATTAAATTATGAGACTTTTGCCAAGGTGCTATGCACAACATGTATACAGTTTTGCGTAGGCGCAGTATGTTCTGCTGACTTGCTGACTTGCTGCTCTGTTCTGTCCTGGCTAATGTGTGTGTGTGTCTGTGTGTGTGTGTGCCGCTCACAGCTTCTATAAGGGGACGGTGCCTCGGCTCGGGAGGGTGTGTCTGGACGCAGCGCTCGTCTTCACCATTTACGAGGAAGCCGTCAAGTTCATAGCCATTGTCTGGCCTGATAAACGATCGTAGAAGTGCTGAAAGGTGCCCAATGCAGTTCCAGGGCTTGGGAAACTGGTTTTTAAAAGTCAATATTATTATAATAGTGCTCCCAGCCGCGAGAACAGACAACACTTAAGCTCCTGTTCTGAAACAACAGGAGCTTCTTGACTAATTTGCATCATCCTTGTCTTGACTTGTCTAACTTTTGTTTCCTTTTGAACTTTCATCAATACCAATCAATAGTTTGAAGAATTCTTATAAACTCACTTTTGTGACAAAACTAGTGTTACTGACAAAAAGTCTGACCGTTTCCAAAATCATATCCAGTTGTTTGAGTAACTGCTTTTTGACGTATCAATATTCTAGTCACTTATCTACACAGTAAGTTGAGACAATACGATCCCAATGTGTATCGACATTCGTGGAGCAAAAGAGTGTTGATTCAGATGTGCTAATGTGGGGCAGTATGTGTATATCATACAGATTTTGCCTTATTCAGAATATGTCCAGTTTTGCCGCCCTGATAACGCATTGGGTGTCTTTCAACAGTCAAGTTCACAGAACAGACTCAAAGTCAACCTTGAACCTGCAGGTTCCTGAACTTAAGAAGAAAAAGAACAGAAGTCTTATTTTTTTGGACGTGAGATCCCCAAATCTTGCTTATTTTAGGTCAGTTGTCACTCTACAGTTTGGGGGTTTGAGTGACAAAAAATGTAATTTATATTGTTGCTTGATCTATTGAATCAGATACAAACACTTTTGCCTAGTTAATGCTAGTGGGAATTGTCGAAAAAATATTCGCCATAAGCCGTGTTCCTGAGAAGAAACTAAAATTGTAGAAAAACATCATTGATTTTTCTCCAGCCTACCACATTGTAATGTGTAACTTTGTAAATTGACCGTATTTTGGGAGAAAATCTGTAAGATTGAGAAACAGATGAATAAAAGGTTCTGCCTTTGAAAGCCACGTTTGTCGAGGGTCCTTCTTGCTTTTGGTTTTTGAGTAGTCTGAAAAATGTACATTTGCACATGCATGTCACAAGTCAGTTCAATGATATACATCATAATACAGG